GTTGGAAAAAAACGTATAACATGCACGTTATTTGTGTTATGCTCACCAGAGTTGTTAGCTCTGATATACGATACCAACACAAAATAACGAGGGCCCTAGCAATGGCATTTCATTATTGTTTTGAATTGTTTCTTTGATTATCCCTACAAAACAATACATTTTTAAAAAATTTCAATCTGAACTAGGTAAAAATCAAGAAATACTACCCAACTTTAGTATATCGTTTATTGAGAAAACAAATACATTACCTACCATGCTAAAAAATGATAAATAAGGTGATGGTAGTGGCATGCATGAAATCTAGTTACATGTACATAACAATAGACATAGTTTCATGTGGAGATACCTTTTCTAATCTGTCCATGGAGGATGTCATAGCTATATGTAAGTCAGTGCTTCTCTAACTAGGAGGGCAAAGGAGATTGATGGTTGAAGTCCTCCACAGGGATCATAGCACGGGGAAGTTTAAAAAACATTTATGTAAGCCCTGAAAGAAACAACACATTTCCTTTCTAAGTACCTTTTGGAAAAATATCAGACTATTGTTTTTAAATAACTTAAAAACAGAGCTTGGCAAAGAATGAATGTATTTCTAAGGTTTTGATTTTAAGGAAATATTTTTTTTTTTCAGATTGACATGGTCTCGGAGTTAAAAAAAAATCCATCTGTTTGAAAAATGGGTAGAATAAGCAGCAAGAAAAACATAAAATGAGTTTAGGTGAGTGGGTGGAAAGTTGTCAGAATATTAAAGGAAAATTTAAGTTGTTTTATATCAGTGGAGAGAGCAGCTTAGACATTCATCTAGGCAGAAAACATTGTGGTTTATGTAAAAATAAAACCATCTCATCTCAACACTTTGGCAATTAGATGATTTATTAATGTCATTTTAGAATGTTCAGTAGTTTGCCTCTGTAAAATGTTACTAACTGTATTATTATGTTTGCTTTCAAATTACTGAATAGTAGATTTTGCTTCCAATTTACTGAATTGTAGGGGTTTTTTTTCTTTTAATCTGTGGAATTTGTTGATTTTGTAGTAAGCAGTCCAACTCAAGTGTATTTTTACAACTATTTCTTAAACCAGTGAGAAATGTTCTGAACATAACACAAACAATTCTGATACTACTAGTAGAAATTATGCAACTGTGTTTAATCCATAGGTTGTTGAGAGTGCGGGAGTGTTAGGGGTTAAACTTAACATTGGTTTGATTTAATCATGGAAGTGGGAGATTGTAGCAGTATCTAAGGAGGGAGAAGGGTATGTTTGAAAAAGAGAAGAGAAGGATTTCCAACAGTGATCAGAAGACAGGACGTGTTGTATACAACAGCTGCTCCTAACCGAGGGTAACTGGCTTGTGTCCAGTTCACATACAAAATCGCATTATGCTTATTGTGGTGCTAGCTTATTTATTTATTTTGGATGAATGAAAATCAACATCTGGTCTTTATTTTCTTTTAATTGTGGTCTAATCAAATTATATGTGATGTGGTCTAATCACCTATATGATGTTGGTGAAGAATACTGAACATACCATAGACAGCCGGAAGAGTGAACAAGTATGTCCTGGAAGAAGTACAGCCAGAATGCTCCTTAGAAGCTAGGATGGAAAGACTTCATCTCATGTACTTAGGACATGTTATCAGGAGGGATTAGTCCCTGGAGAAGGATATCATGCTTGGTAAAGTAGAGGGTCAGTGAAAAAGAGGAAGACCCTCAACAAGATGGATTGACACAGTGGCTGCAACAATGGGCTTAAATAGCAATGATTGTGAGGGTGGTATGGGACCAGGCATTGTTTTGTCCTGTTGTACGTAGGGTTGCTAAGAGTCGGAGCTGACTCGACAGCACCTAATAACAACAGTCACATAGAGTAAGCTGTACAGATCTTAAGTGCATAGTTGAATGAGTCCTGACAAATGCATACACACAGGTGTCCAACTCCATAGAGCCCTGCCCTTTCTTTGGAAAGTTCCCTCATAGCCCTTTGCATTCTATCCTCCTTTTCCCCCAGAGGCAACCCTATTCTGATTTCTATACCCATAAACCAGTTGTACTTATCTTAAACTTAAAAAAAAAAAAAAA